AGAACCCTCTGCCCTGAGATGTGTGTCTTTATGGTAAACAGCCAGGCCATTGGAAGAGAAAATGTCCATTTTTACACCAGCAATCTGATGGATCCACTCCTTTTGGCCTGGACTATTGCCCCACCAGAGGAAGCCCCCAAAGTCTTCACTCCTGGGATAATAATCAACCAATCTCTCAGAGAGAAAAAAGAATCTTTCTTTGGTGAGGGTTTCAAATCAAGTCTCAAAGGGCTCCATCTCCAAATCTGTCCAGTTGACACTTGGACCATTTCAGAAAAACATTTGTAGGACTTAGTCCTCTGTTTTCTCTATTCAATCCTGCTTATCCTATGGGGACTGCTCAAGCGACTGAAACCTCTCTTCTCAAACCCCTGAGGACACATGCTCTGCCAACTCTGTCCACCTCTTTGATATTGTCATGCTCTTTGCTGTGCCCCAAAACTCTTTCTTAAGGGAGGAAAAAAACCAACTGATTGGCCTGTCATTCAACCTTGACAATAAACAAACAGAAAACAGGATGAACTAGTCTCTGGCCATAAAGCAAGACTGGAAGTATCCATGCTGAGGCCAGACATACAAAATGATTGTATTTTTGTACCTGGCACATGACTAAAATTTTAGAATGAAAGCTATAAGACGTATTTCTGTCTATATGTTTATGTATATCTGTATATGTGCGATATTTTTCTATCTCCTTATGATATTACCAAAATTAAATTGTAAGAGAACTCTATTTAATTAGCTTAAAGAAAAACAAGTGCTTATATAAACGAAATATTTTCTCAGGAAAATAAGAACTAACCCAAATGCTTTTCAAGTTCACATGACTTGGGTAATCCTTGCAAATAAGAGTATTGTTGGTCTGATTAAAATAGGCATATCTTCGGAGTTGTCGGCATTAAATATAATACAGATGTATGACTTTTCCTACCTAGGTTTATTGGTAAAATAAGCTTATGTTATGTCTGTGTTATAAAATTTGCCAGAAAAAAAAATAAGATAATGGCCAGCTGCCTCATCTTCATGAGCAATCCAAGCATAATTGGTTTTTAAAAGTGAGTTAAATAGACATAACTTAGATAACATTCCCATGTGAAAGATGTCCTCCCTGTATCAGAAGGTTTTAACATTTTTATTGGCAGAAATGAAAAGTTGAGGCTGAGGGAAATATTTACAAATAATAATTTAATTCTCAGGCCTAGCAAGAAAAATCTAAGGATAGAGATAAAATTTTGCCTTCTCTACAGTTTCTTATTACAGAGTGACTAAAGATATTTGGGATTGTTAGTAAACATGTTTTGTACCTCATCGACAATTATACTATGAGAAAGCACGTGCTTCTGGAAATGATGGTTCTTAGATTTGCCGATCTGCGGATTGCTGATGCAACAATTTACAATTGCTTGCTTCCTAGTGTTCACTGGAAATTAAGGTCACTTAGGCTTATGAATTCTAATTAATATACGTAACGAAAATTACTAAAAAGAATTAGGGAAATAATTCTATATGCAAGTATGCAAGGAAGGTAAGATGTGCTTTTGGTAAGACAAAGCTATAAGTTACGAGAATTTTTTGTTTTGTTAAGAGAAAAAGAATCATTTTTGTGCTAAAGTAGAATGACTGGTTGTTCCAAAATGAGAAAAGGACAAGCACAGGGCAAAAATAGCCAAATGGATAAGAAATCTGTAGAAGGTTTGTGGAAGATGAATCTAATAAAAGGAATATTATGTGTGATCAAACTGGATAAAATTAGAAGAGAATTATTTATAAGGTTTTCTAAAACTTGAACATTAATATCAAAAGCACACAATGCAAAATTAAAATTTAGTTCTCTCTGTGTTAAAACAACAGGACTTTCTTAGAGT